ACTGAATTCCATTAAGATTAACTACAGAATGTCTCCTTTTTATGTTTCAGCTACATGCAACAAATAGAAAGTCAAATCAGTCAGGATCTTGGAGTTTAATAAGCAAGCTCATGAGTCTAAAACATTTCACATAACAAGACCATCAAAGAAGCAGACCTTACGTTTAGATAGGATATCACAGTACGTGTCAGAACTGTTGAATTTTTATAATTTTCCGGATAAGAGGGTCGAACAGAAGTAGGAAACTCATTCTTATGTGTTAACACAAACTTATCTGTTAACACAGCTGCTTGTAAGAGTGAGGTAACTTTCTGCTCAATGAAACAAGCTACAATTCATACAGGCAGACAGATTTTAAATTCTTCAAGAAAAAATTACCTTCTTAAGTTTGTCTAAATCAGCTACTTTGTAAGCAGTCTATGACTTCTCAAACGGTACACCTTTCACTAGCAAACTCAACAAAGGTCTGATTTTTTTATAATTTCAAAACCTTTGATGGTACAGGTATGTCTCATGTATTCAAAGTTAAATCAAAACAAAACACAGGCTGGGCATACCTTGATCTGACATTCACATGTGAAATACAATAGGGTTAATAACTTTAAAAAGTTTCACATTTCTTTTATAATTTGTATCTGCAGAATACAACTGCAGTTCTACTGTGTATCGCGTAATATTGTGAATGTTATACTGTACATGTCTTATACCAGTGGTGTGGTTGTTGGGATTACTAACAGGTTCAGTCATAGTGTTTTCAAATTGGAAAAAATCTGCATGTGTTGTTGATGTTAGTGGTTTTACAATAGATCGAATATGTATTTCTTAATTTGTGGATAGGTTTTATTTGTTAGACAATATACTCCAATGAGGAAAAATCGTGCACAGGGCTTTTTTCTACCAATCAGGAGTTTTTAACTAGCACAGGTATATCCACAGATATACAGTAGTGAAACAATAGTGTACAAGTCAATGAACTGCAGTGTGATATTATGCCATACTGTACAGTATATACAGTATGAAGCCATTTGGTTTTAAAGCCACTACAGTATAGTATGTGTGAAATATGTAATATAAACCAAATACTTCAAAACGCCACATTGCGCATTCACTTCGCCACCTGGAAGTTTAACAAAATAGTGCAGTTACCAAAGAGAAGATTTAAAAAAAGAGAGGTGCAGTACGTTGTAATGAGGTGCACAACGCAATCTGCTGTATCATCCAATGTGCATTTTCACAGGTTGGATGTGTATGCTAATTGCAATACTGTACATACTGTAACAGTGTTTGTCAACAGACTGAAAATTTCCTAAATAAAATACAACATTGAAGAAGATAAATTTAAAGAGTGCTAATGGATTTAATAGTTTTAGGCCCATATTTCGTGCATTGAGAAACATTTTCACATCTACAGAATTGGAAGCCTTCAGAGACAGCTCGCAGAAATGCTCAATTTCAGCCCCAGCGAGGGTTAGGGTTAGCAATCCCACAGAACATAGACAAATTTAAACCTCATGTTTTTACTTTGGGGCTCAAGTGGAATTAAGGAAGACTGATATTTTTCTTTCTTCTTCACATTTTTTTTTCCGATAGTGTTGGGCGCATCAATTACAATTCGTATATTCAGGTCGTGTATTTCAAAACTGACTTCATTTACAAGCGTTAAGTAAACCCTTCCAATTTATTAATTCTCTCAATTAACTCATTTGAAGTGGTAGCAGATGTACTGTAAAAATGGTTTCAAAATTGATTGGTTCTTCTAACCCTAAACCTACCCTGCCCTGATATGTGTGTTCATGTAAGTAGTCTTCACTGCATTTTTCAGCTGAGTGAATACACTCCTATAAAAGACACATTATTTGAGAATATGAGTTTAAAAGAGTGTTTATGAATGTATTTGATAGTTTTAGGCCCATATCTTGTGCATTGAGAAACATTTTCACATCTGATGAAGGGAAGCCTTTCAGAGACAGCTCGCAGAAATGCTCAATTTCAGCCCCAGCTAGGGTTAGGGTTTGCAATCCCACAGAACATAGAGAATTTTTAACCTCATGTTTGTACATTGGGGCCCATGTGACATTTAGGAAGACTGATATTTTTCATTCTTCACATTTTTTTTAATACTGTAGGTTTGGACGCTTCAATCACATTGCGTATTTTCAGGTTGTGTATTTCAAAACTGATTCCTTTTTAAGTTAAGTAAACCCCTGCCAATTGGTGATTTCTCTCAATTGCCTCATTTGAAGCGGGAGCAGCTATAAAAATGGTTTCAACATTTAATGGTTCTTCTAACCCTATCCGTACCCTTCCTTGAAATTGTTGCTTATTTAAGTACTGTCTTAACAGCATTTGTCAGGTTAGGGAATACATGCCTATTCAATATTATTGAATTAGATAAGTTTACATAGATTTGGATACAGGAACATTTTCATAATTGTTTTTTTTAGATTTTTTTTTCATAATTGCTCAATTTAAGCCTCAACTAGGGTTAGGGTGAGCAATCCCATAGTAGACATTTTTTTTAATCTCATGGCCCACGTCAACTTTAGGAAGAGTGATACTTTTATCCAATCTTCAGCTTTGTTTAGTAGAATTAGTAGCTTAAACTATAGTATATGCACATTTATATTTATCTGAGAATATGAATGTCAAACAATCATATAATATGAGGCAGATTATAATACATGTTATAGTCAATGTAGTTCAACTCTGAAGTTAGTCTGACCTTGTAATTCCTGAGTTAATGAGCAGCTAGTTGTATCACAGTAGATCTTTTCACAGATACAGTATATTCTGTATGTAATGCATATTTTTGGTATTATATCAATAAATTGTATATTATATATTTACACTCCGTGAGGCTGTAGTTATTTCATTGGCTCCTAAAGTCTTCTAGTCTTCTACAATTACAATTTTGTAAATAAAATTAATATAAATAAATAATATAATAACTTTTGTATTGTACCCTCACATCTTTATACTGTATATTGTAAGTGACAGAAATCAAAATTCAAATTTGGGTTCAGTCTCCTAAATAATATGGACAACAATCATGGTCTGGATAGCCTCCTCTCATCTCTAACTTTTCATATGGGATTTTCGTAGAAATAAATGTTTAGAACAACAATGGTCTATACAGTAGGAGTGAGATGTGGAAATTTTGCTTGCCAAAATAATAGGAGGGCTGATTTTATGTTTCCTTAGACTTTTGACAATGTGCTTTGGGTCACTGCCCTGCTGGAAAATACATTTAGGGGTCACACTGGAGGTTTTACCTGGGGGAGCTAGGTTTTTGGATGCAGTATGTTGATATACTTTTTAATATACAGTACCTGTCTCTCAATTCTAACTAGGATACTAGGACCAGGGAATACAGACCAGCCCCAAAGCACAATAGACCTACCTCTATGATACACAGAAGAGAAGCCATTCTTTCAACACAATCTTCACCACAGTTTGTAAATCAACCTGCTGATGAAACAGCTCCAAATCACTATTTGACAGTTTGTGTTTCATCCAATTACTGTAAATCATACAGTAAGTCTCCATTTGACTTTCAGAATTTCTTGTCTTTTCATTTTATAGTATATTGGATGGAGCTCTGTCACAGTGCCCAGGTTTATGAGAATAGCCTTAAATAGTAGTTTTGGAGATTTTGTGTCCTAATAAGTGTTTGTAGGTTCACAATTGTTGCCTTTGGCTTGAATTAGCACTCTCAATTAAGCTTCCTAACATCCTTTTCCTGGTGGAGCAACAACCATTACTAGTACTGACTACGGTCAAAACTGGAATACTGTATCGTAAGGATTTTCTTTCTATCTGCCATCAGGAGAGTTGCTGAAGTCAATAATATTTCACATTAGATATTTAAAAAAATTGTGATGATATGGTTCTCATTATTTGCTATCAATCAAGATGACTTACAGAAGCATCTATACTTTTTTCTGAGGCTTCATGAAGCTACAACATATTAAATGCACAATTAAACTTTCAGCTTTGTTCTGACAAATCTACAGGATATAAATATATTTTTAAAATATAATTGGAAAGGTTTATCATTAATATAGCCAATATACTGATTATTTCTATTTTAATTGATGCATACAAGACATATTGAATATACAAATAAGTCTGGATACAAGTGAATGTCACATGACTATGGAAATATTTTTTAGCACTCCATAGCTAAAATCATTCAGATTTTCTGCACCTTCTGTGGAGAACTGCCAGCATTTCCCTCATTACTTATCTAGCGTCTTTACAATACTCTGGTTAAGCATACAAAAGTGTCTGAATTGGGACTAATCCTTTAAATTGCTCTTGGTGCTTAGCCACCTTAAAGCTCCACTTGAGAGAAGCTTCACTGATCAGCTTGCTATGGTCATCCAAACACTGAAGATTTGCTCCATTGCTTTCTGAAATTATAATGTTCTGCACAACTGCACAGCCCAGAGTGCTGAACTTCTGACTCACTCCTGGCACTGCACTGTTCTCCTTGGGATTGTATGTTATAGTCTCCTTTAAAACAGCCCAAGTGTCATACTAAAGTAGTTGTCGAGTGGCACCACAGCAGAGAACCCAGATACTCTTTAACTCTTTCGCCAACCACTATGATTTTGCAAACAGCATTGAAGTACCTGCACACTGAAGCTGTATGGTTAGTGCAATAATCAACTTCTTTTTATACTCATGTGCAACATTAAAACTATTTTTATTTTCATTATATACGTTCATTTTGTGCCCTCTTTGCAGTCTAAACTGAAAAGGACTAACCAGATGCCAATGCTACAGTACCTTGAAAAATTAAAAATACTTGACTCTGTTTATAATAAAATTTAAAATATATATTAATTGACCATTAGAGAACTATACTACAAAGTTCCATAACAAATGCTATTTTTTTCTCTTTAAATTGTGAAAGACAACATAACCACTTCTATTGCACATTATGCTATTTTTTGCACTCAAATGCTGTAGGAATAATTTCCTGTGTTTCACAATACCTCCATGTTCTGGGCTTTGGAGTCCTTTGGATCACATAAAGAGTTGTTTATTCGGTGGTTCCCACGGTTACATCGCTGACTTGTGTTCTGTGGCAGAGGAAACATTTGTCGGATAATTGTCAGCCTTCCAATGGATTTCATCACAAGCTCCTGCACGTCAAAGTCAGAAATTTCCTGAAAAAACAAAAAGTTTTTATTCTGGGAGTTTTAATCATCATGTTTTATCTGGATATTCAGTAACAGAATACACTATAATATTATTTTTTATAAAATTGTATATTTTATATTACACTATAATATAAAAGGAAAGGTTTTGAGCTGTATGCTACAGTCTAGACAAATTTGAACCCAGATCAACACCATAAGTTGGCAGCTGCCCACATTCACAATGGTGATTTCTTTCCAAACTTCACATCATTGACAAATCCCAGGAGATGTCCTTCATCCACATCAGATACTGTACATTTTTACTTTTACAGAGATTTAGGGTTTGGCAGGTGCGCAGCAAATAATTTTATGTACTGATAGAACACTGACATCATCACAAAATACCACGAGGCAGGTATGATACACCTATTTTATTTCCTGTAGAAATAGTAGAGTGATGGACAGCCAAAGCTAGTGCCTCAAAATGTCAAACTGACAAGTGTCCCTACACAAGTCTGGTAGAGAGTGTACTTTCTTTAAACATCTCCACTTGGTATGGGAATCTTGGTGTCAGGGGTAAAGCTAAACAATCAAGGATTATAAACATTGGCATCAAAAATATTGATCAGAAAAAGAACCAGCTGAACCACATCTACTGTATACTAGGAGTGTTTACAGAAAATCAGTGTTATAAGTAGATTATGCCACACACACTACATTCCCACTTTGGAAAACTAACATCAGAACATTTTAGAGTACCAAAGGTTACAGAAAACAGTTTTAAGTAGTCATTCATTCCGAGTACCATTACTCTTTTAAACTCTTATGTTTGAGCCCCTTCAGAGCATATATACAGTATACTGAATCTGATCTATTTGTACAGTATGGTATGCATGGTATACAATACTGTATATGGTATTGTTATTTACTGTATATTACATTGCCTGTAAAGTCCACTGAATGTTTACAGTATGTGCTCTGTTTATACAATGTTTTTATTGTTGTCTAAGTGAAGCCAAAGTAAAATTTCCACTGTATGTGGATAAAATAAATTGAGATTCAGATTCTACAAACAGCAAGCAGGACACCTGTTCTTTGTTCACAACATTGCTGAAATGCAGATGTATAGTATGAAAGTTTAATCATATTTGTGAAACCTTATGATTAAAACCTAAAACCTAAAACTGGTGAACTAGGTGTAACGAATGAGTTCTTTCCGGACCCTATGTGGACGACACAATCCAGGGAAAAGTGAAGAAAACACAGGGGAAAAAGGTCATGCAGGATACGGGAATGAAAACAGGGGGCGTGTTCAAAGTGCACAGGTGTATAGGGGGGTGAGTCCGGGACAAACAATCCAAACCAGAGTCCACTGCAAAATCCAGGACAAAGGCTAAAGGTCCAAAGCCGGGCGGTCCATCCGAGACTGACGGTTAAAAAACGGGAAC